TTCACGTGCCATAAAAAAGCAATTTCACATTTCACGGATAACGAGACTCTAATAAAAATAATATAATAATAATAGCTTTAAGATTATGTTTAATGCATGGTACAGTACTACGCTTTAAGTTCTCTTCTCTGCCTGGCAGTTAAAAACTACTTACAAGATTGAGTGATGAGTACGTCCGACGATCTCCGAAAGGCCTCCGAAGTTTCTACTCTTGTGCAATCGAGTGAGATCGATCATATAAATTATTATCGCGTATTATGTGCATTATCACTATTATAAAATAGATCGGAATAAACAAATCAAAATCACAGTTCACGAAACAGACATCCTTAATTCCCATTTCACGGAGCATTTTTTGATCGACAATCACGCCTCACGGCTGTAGAACAAATCGCAGATCATGACAGTAAAATCAAGCATTCACACGATCAAATATTGACCATTCACGCAGTGGCGTAGACAAGGGGGAGCCCCCCCCCCCAATAGGCTGATGGACTGCCCTTGTAAAAAGATGAAATCCGGGTAGAAATTAGGGGGGGGGACGATGACTACCCATGTGACTACCAATCTCATCTGTTCACCAAATTGTCTATAAAAGTTCTAATCTTTCCTAAATCTAACTACAGAAAATAATGCCTATGGTGGTTATTGGTTAAAATGCGTTTTAAAACTTCGATTTAACTATTTACACGCGACCAAGTAAGCTTCGTTGAGTCAAATTAAGGATCCACATTATTGAGAAATCATTAAAAATCAGGTCTTTCCTGCAGTAAATAATCTTCAGAATTATGCAAAATCTCTCCCCAGAAACACGGGAAATCGCCATTGAGGGACTCCAGATTTCAAAATTTCCCCCCGGACCCCCCTAAAAAGGCTTACGCCTTCGGCATTCGATATATGCCCTCCCAAAAATTATAGTCTGGCTACGCCACTGCATTCACGGGTCACAAAAATACCCTTTCCCACCCGGCTCATTAATATCGCTCTCTGATTCTGAATAAAAATCGCAGTTTATAATACGTATTGGGAACACTGATACGATTGGGAACCGTGAGAATTTGTATATAGATGCCATTACGCCAATGCAAAATGGGTTACACACTTTAATACACTTGATCCAATTTTGATCGGGGCTATGGTCTACATTTCGTAGACCATAGCCCCGTATAAAATGGGCCAAGTATAAAATTGGCCAAGTATAAAATGGGCTGTGATAGTTATATCATAGAATAGGAAGGTATACCAGAAGTCTCACTCAAGCAAGTATTTATCCGCGTTTTTACAAGCGATTCGTCCGATCATCAATCACGCCATCCTGGCTAGTACAACCGGCACTTTGTACCTATCAAAACCTGATAAAAACTTCCGGCTGTACTAGCCAGGATGGCGTGAGCGAGTTAAAATTTTCGTGGGTTACACTTCTGCTATACTTTCCTATTTTGTGGTTATATGCTGTATATTCAAATACATTCTTCAGCCGGAATATAACCATACGTGGTTATTATTGTATTAACGCTATAGTAAAACTAATTTAAAAAAATATCGTGCACGCGGCAAGATTCGATAAAAAATAATCGTGCGGAGTCGGTGAGGTCCAAAAAAAAAATCGAGCACTCTCAAAAATGCGCCCCCCCTCCCCATGAAAAATCAAATGGTCCGTCCCTTAGAGGTCGAGGGTCGAAAGTCGGGGTCGAGACGTAGTAACAATTATTAATTTTAGAATTCTAATTCTAGTCAAAATTTTAAAAGTTTTAAATTTCCTCTTTATTTAAATTTCGATAAAATATAAAGCACTAAAGCGACCAGGGGCATCGGAGCGGCTCTAAAAGTGGGGGCACACTTAGCACCCACCAAAGGCGGGTGACATTCTAGGTGGTTCCGAGGGTCTCCCCCCCCCTTCGCTTGGACATCCTTTGTGAATGGCCCCTAAACGTTTGCTGACAAAAGGTTCACCTTTAATACCGGTCTGAAAGGTTTGAAAATTTAGATTTTAAAATTTTTATCCTTACCCTATCTTTCATTATATCTTGCAAAATAATATAGTTTTACAAGCGATACGGCCGAAAACACGGGTACGTTACTTCCCTACGTTTCCACGAACGTGGCGGTTTTTTGCAAACAAAGTACGTTGCATTCGATTGAACTGACACGTTTGGTGCATGAACGACACGTTTGGTGCATGAACGTGTAAGCATACACGATAAAATCGGTTGTTGGACTCAAATGGTAATATTAATTAGAAGTTTCATAGAATGGTAGAAAGAAAAGTTGCGTTCGGAAGTTGAGTTTTTTGTTACATGCAAATTAAAGTCATAAGGATTGCAATCCTATTATGAATTGTTCGTGCACGCGTTTTGAACCAATTTTTAGAGATATGTATAATCTGGTCGCTTTTTGGCGATAACATGTTTCTTCAATCCTCTTTACAGGTAGCGAACGCTTTTCTGTAGTTTATTTTCAGTCTGCATTTTCCAGTCTGCAGTCTGCATTTTCTAGTCTGCGGTCTGCACTTTGTACCTGCCGCTCCGGCATTACCATTTGGGTTTACCATTTGGTTGGCCGGCTCTGCATACTCCCTGTCGTTTTCAACATAGTCTCCCGAAATGATGTTCTATTTGAAAGCTAGGGATACTAAAAGTCGGACGATAAGATAAAATTTGATTTTGAGAGCATAATACTTGTGTATTATCGCGAACTGAATTTTGGATCCGCTAGGCATCATATCGCCAGTGTTATAGTAAGCATGAAATTACTTTTCCAAGAGCTCAGTGTGAAAAAGACAATTGGGATGATGAAAGAGGCGTAGGAACCGGGGGAGCAAGGCCCCCAAGTTTTCAGAAAACACTGAAAGATACCCTCTCTCCGGTGCGTGCCCTGCCTTCGTGAAAAATGTTGTTCAGATTGCATTTTTTATGATTGCAATTATTTTTCCTTCAGAAAACACAAAAAGAATGTCCTCTTTCCGGTGGCAAAGTGCCCTTTGCCTTCGTGAAAAATGTTGTTCAGATTGCATTTTATATGATTGCAATTATTTTTCCTCTACCCCGCCTGTCGCCAACATTTTCGGGAAAACATTTTCAGGTGCCCTTTTCATTCCAAAAGTACCCCTCGGAACCGCCCCCTCCCAATCTTTTGATGCTTCCTACGCCCCTGGATGAATTGCACGAAGAGAAAAACGAGAAATGGAATCAGGGACAGGGTGTGTGTGTGTGAGGGGTGTAACACCAGTATGCTATTCCAGCGCCCTTAGATTTCAACATCTTCCCAGGGGAGTGGTTGGCCCATAGATATAGGAGATCTAGATTGCTAACGCATACCTAGCGCAGGCGGAGCCTACATGATAAATCCAAGATGGCGGTACAAGAGGGCAAAAAGACTATAGATTCTATTACAAAAATCAAGATTTTTGCACTTTTTTCCGTCGCATTGTTTTGAAACTTATTCGGTCAAATTTTATGGTAAAGAGAACCTTACCGCGAAGATTTTGAGCATATATATGATTGAATTGGATGAAAACTCGCAAAATTATCCAGCGATAAAAGTTCGTGTGAAATGGTCAGTTGGAGCGTTTTATTGCCAGAAATACTGTGCTATGTTAACATCTAGTCTTGTGAATGGTGTTTTATACTTGCATCTTTCATCATCATCTGCTCTGTCCTCATAATTATGAAAAATTCACTGTTATGTACCCCCCCCCCCTCTCCTTGCTTCTTAGAGAAGTTAACTGATGAGAGAGCACTGGATAAGGGTCTATCATCTATGGTCTGTTATAATTTGCTTTCTATGCAAATAGTGAGCAAAAATTAAAGCAAAACTGTACAAGTTACATATATAGTACTATATCAGTACTATACACGAACTTTTATCGCTGGATAATTTTGCGAGTTTTCATCCAATTCAATCATAAATATGCTCAAAATCTTCGCGGTAAGTTTCTCTTTACCATAAAATTTGACCGAATAAGTTTCAAAACAATGCGACGGCAAAAAATGCAAAAATCTTGATTTTCGTAATAGAATCTATAGTCGTTTTGCCCTCTTGTACCGCCATCTTGGATTTATCATGTAGGCCCCGCCTGCGCTAGGTATGCGTTAGCAATCTAGATCTCCTATATCTATGGGTGGGCCCCATATGCGAACAAAATGATGCAGTACGGAGTTCATAGAAATGCAATTGTTGTAGCCATTACCAATAAACGCTCGGTATTCAGGTTTTAAGTCTTGGGTTTTCTCCTGGCTAACAAGAAAAGGCAATTTAAGACAAAAGTCTTTTAATTAGAATAATCACCGTATGGGTACAGACCCGTAACTAGCTATGAGTCAACCGGTTAGTTGACTCGGTAAGATTTTAAGTGAAAAAATTCAAAACAGGAAGAATTCAAGTTTAGAAAAAACAGATCCTGAATTAAATTTATTCAATTTCTGATGAAGGGTAGAAGTACGAATGAGCGTCCCAGATATTACCACAAACACGTTTTTTATTATGCACCTGATCACGTTCCGGGACCAAGAGTACTTGAATTCTTATGATTGGATACTGGTAGTACAATTGTAAGACACACTATGAAATTATAGTCATTGTGTCACTGTTTATGAGATTGATTTTTTTTTAAAACTTCTCCCAGAATGTAGGAAGACTATAAATGAAATTATAGTCATTGTGTCACTGTTTATCATTATACTGATTTTTTGTTAAAATTGCTCCCAGAATGCAGGAAATAACGTTTCTATAAGCCTTAGAAAATCAAACATTTTCTGGGGAAGCATGCCTAGTTACTAAAAAATCTAAAATCCTAGTTACGGGCATGGTATGAAAAATATATAAAATGTCATTATTAAACTAATACTGTATGGTACAAGTTATCTGAAATAACAATATCGTTAATCCAGTTTGCAGACAACTTCGAATTTATTTGCACGTATACCACACTGCATCACGATCGAAGATCGGCGTAGTTATTGATGAAAAGGTAAAACAAAAATCAGATACACATCGTTGTAACAGTTCTTTAACTTTTCATTTCTTCTACAATTAATGTAAACTTTTTTTGATGATTATATTTATCATAGTAAAAGTACAATGATCAACTTCGCTTCAACAGGAATGTCCACTAAAACAGACGCAATATATTACAATAAGATCACTTAAAGAAAGACTATATTGTCATAAGCTTTGGGTTATATACACTCTTTAATAACAATAAATACATAATGCTAATATTGTGGTAATAAATTCACTTTACTAAAAGAGTATACTAAAGACTTTGTCCACATTTAGCTGGCCATCTTCGTTTGAAACTTTTAAAAAGACATCGGAAAAAAGTTAAGTCGACATGTAGTTTAACATCGTTAGAAAAAACTTTCAAAACTTTAATGAAAGTTTTTAACTTTTTCATATCTGTCTTCAAAATATTTTAGTTTTTTCGGCTTGTTAATTTAATGAACCGGATGAAAAACGTCATGGCATGCAAATTTGAAATGTCGAAAACTTCTGACATGCAGTATTAATTTAACGACACAAAACCAAAAGAAACATTTAGATGTTAACTTGTGAATGGCTGAATAGTAAGTAGTACAGTATCAAATACAATTACATACATTCTTGTATTGTAACAAAATGAGGGGTCGGTCACGGCAGAAATCTCGCGTACACTCCACTCAGAAATCAGGTTAAAAACCATGAAGAAAATTAGCTGAGTAGAAATTAGATGATTTTGAAATCATGCAGAAAACACATAAGTTCTCACAAAACAGGTGATATAGCAAGAACAAGCTTGTTTCACTTTTGCGTATTTCAGACCGGATATTTCATAAATAAAACAGTACTTTGTTCTCAATGTTTTAAACGTATTAAAATGAAATAAAGGCATTGAAATGTACCAAAAATGCTGTAATTGGTATCTTCAGGAAATGTTGAAATCAGCTGAAGATCAGGAAATCAGCTCAGAAATAAATTGATTTCAAAATCTCGTTCGCTTTCAACTGTCATGACGGACCCCTCGGAGTAAAAGCATGCATGCATTACGAAATGATTATTTGTTTTTCAACAGCAGCTTATCTTTGAGTTCGTTATAGAGGCTGTTTATATGAGTCTGGCAGGCTGGTTGACCCGGTTAAACGAGAGGCGTTCGCCTTCACACAAATTTTCTTTACGAAACAATTCACTTTCAATGAAAACTGGGCCAGTCCGCGTGTTTAACCTGCACATCATGGGCTGAAATTTATATCCATGTAAAGTCCTTTAGCCGGGCTAGCAAAAAACATTGTTAGGCTTGAAAATATTTTTTTTGAATGGATATTTTTCTCGACAAAGTTTGATTTCTAAACTTTTAACATAAATTGTTCTTATTCTTTAAGTAGTTTCAACTCTGAAATTTGTGCAGGAAAAAAGAATGAATTTGACTTTTGTGACAAACCTCGCACTATTAAACTCGTCAACGAGTTTTTCTTGTCAATTTTGGTTTGTTGAAGTCTTAAACCTGGAACAAACGAAGATGAGAGTCGACAGTCACGTGACCTTGGTTAGCTGTTCTTAATGCTTTCCCAACACTATCATGTATTCTATTGAAGTTAAAACATAGTTAAAACACTCATCAAATCTACATTTTGTTAATCTAGAGCTTGAAATGTCGACTGTAACAATTCGTGAATGCCAGCTCTCATCAACTCTCATTTTCGTTTGACCGGGGGCTTTAGCCCGGCTAATATAGGGCCAGACCGCACGTCTCATATAAACAGCCCCTCAGAAACCCTTGCGATGTAGCACGGCAACTCCCGAAGACGACGGCTATTCATACAATGAAATTCATAACATTTTAGAAAAGAATGAATAATCATAAACCACAGATTTTTGAGGTACTCCGGAAATGAATTGCTCAGTAAAACTATTCTCAACCATAAATCTGTTCAGCTGTACTAAATTCATTCGATTGATAAAACACGACAACATTTACTTTACAATTTCTCGTTTGAATGAGTTTGTGATGGCTGTTGCCTTTGCGTTGACACGCTACATCGTTTAAGGTATTTTTTGGTGAGTTTGGCAAACAACAACGACAACAGCAGGAAACAAAATTACTTATACTTTTGTATTCGAGCGAAAACATAGATTACTAAACTTTTAAAACCACTTATCTTTCTTTTAAACAACCCTGAAATTCCCTGAAGTAGCAACAGAAAGTGAATTCACATAAAACACCGCAAACGACTTGAACGTTTTACTGTGTTGGCGTGGTCATGAGCCGTGAAAATGATGTAAATGACGTAGTGTTTGTAAAAATTGAGAAAATAATACATCTTTAGGATGGAAATTATAGTCGCCTTTGTCTTAGAGTAAAGATGCTGTTGTTGATGATCACGTTCTCGTTGCTGTTGTATATTTGCCAAACTCTTTTTTGTCTAAACTCGCGACAGTGTTGACTGAATGAAATCAATATATTAAAACACTTATCGGTTAATTATTATTTCTATCAGTTATTACTCGTTTATATAAGTTTACTCGATGTTTGCTAAACTATACACGATGTTATTATATCATTTTCATCCGGCTTTAAGCTTGCGTTTTAGTAAAATTGATGTTACCATTATCGCCGGTTTTATTGACCGATTCGAAAACTAGCTAGCACAAGTTTTCATTATTTTCTATTTTATGCATTGCCAGGCTAAAAAATAACTTTTCAACACAGACTTTTTAAGGCAAAGTGTAAAAATTTAAGATTGAAATTATGAAAACAATCCATGCAGGTGAAATTATATCCCTTTGTTTGAAATGTGCAAAAAAAAGTATTAAAACGAGGCTAGTCAGTCTTCTTTGCTAAATTTTCTTTTATTTTTAACATTTAATTTCTGAAAAAAGGGATACATTTATACTTTGCAAAACTGTCAGTCTTGAAATATTCTGTAAGGCGGAAGTGATTACCTTGATTGAAATTAATTTTGGAAGAAAAAAGAATGACAACTACTGTATTTTTCGAATCGGTCTATGTTATTGGTAATTAAGATTTTATAATTTTTATTTTACGATAAGTGTTATAATTATGAATTGCAAACATGTGAAAATGATGTAATTGTAAAGACTCACTCGAAGATGTGTGCAGGATTGTGTGGTATATGCATGAGGATTGTATATGAATTTTCGATGCGATTTCAAAACTTTCATAATCAATGACAATGGTACAAATTTTCATTGCTGCATGCAAGGATTTGTAGGTTTTAAACTAAATTTGTCTGGTACCAAAACTTAATTGTGTTACTTTTTGTCTGTATGTGAAATGATTCCAAGAAATTTGTGTTTGCATATGTGTGAAGTATAGTCTGTGATCTATAAAGAGTCAGTTCATGTATACCTATGCATGCAATAGCATCAATCGTTTCAATTTAAGCCAGCTTTTTAACCCTTCATGATGGATTTCTTTTTAAAGTAAAGCGGGAATACACAAGGATATGTATATCAGCATATTAACATATACGACCAAAACTCAAAAAGAACTTATCAAAAGTTAGTATTTGACAACACATCAATAAGATGAAATATGTAAACATTCAGACCCCATCTATTTCAAATAGTTTTTATTAAGTAAGTAAGTAAGGTAAGAAATGGACACGAAATTAATATGGCGTCTAGGTTCTGTTGATTGGACACAATGTTCTTTAAGTTCCTCTGTAGCATTATTTCTTAGTATAGACTCGATCACCAATTCGTATGGATGAGAAATGGATTGATCTTTCCACGTCATATGACTATCGAATACTACACCTAAGTACTTAAAAGTGATAACACTTTCGATACATGACCCAAAGAAGTTCACGGTAAGAGCTCTGTTTCGTTCACCGTGCCTCTGTGAGCAGAACAAAATACACTTGGTTTTGGTGATATTCAGCACCAGGTAATTATCTTTCAACCACTCAGATAAGCAATTTAAATCGTAATTGATGTTATCATTCACCACATCAACCGTCGAGGCGGCAAAGTATATTGCTGTATCGTCTGCATACATACTGACTGAGCAGCTTCGCATACAAGATGATAAATCATTGATGTAAATGATAAATAATAACGGGCCAAGAATTGACCCTTGCGGGACCCCACAAGCGATATCCAATAGTTACAAACTGCTTCCTTGCGCAGAAGTAATCCTTAAACCACAATAGACTTTCATTGGATACGCCATAATGTTTCAGCTTACGAATTAAGACATCATGGTCGATTGTGTCGAATGCCTTAGCTAGGTCAATGAAAACGGCACCCGTCACTAGCCCTTTATCCATGCCCATGAGAATCTGGTCTGCAAAATGGGTTACCGCCGTTTCTGTTGAGTGTTTCTTTCGAAATCCTGACTGAGATCTACACAACAGGTTATTTTCATCAAAATACGATGCAAGTTGGTTATGGATTAATCGCTCATGAACTTTAGATACTACCGGTAAAACAGAAATAGGGCGAAATTTTTTTGGATCACTCTTTGCGCCGTTCTTGTAAAGTGGCGTAACTTTTGCCTTCTTCCATTCTCCAGGGATCTTACATTGTTGAACTGACAAATTGAACAAAACTGTCAATGGATAGGCCAATACGTCAGCTCCGTCTTTTAACAATCTGCTTGGTATGCCGTCTACACCGGTGGCTTTCTTCACCTTTAATTCCCTCAGAGCAGTTCGAACCTCCGAATCAGTAAATTGTTGAAACGTAAAGCTTTCCGGATGTTCCATTTGGGGTAACCATTTTTTGAACGCATGGCCAGTCGTGCTACAAATCTTAAGTTCGTAGCACAGGAAACAAAGAAACGATTAAACATGTTGCATTTAACTTTCAAATCAGTTGTCGCTGAACCTGCACCAGTGCATCCAGTTCCTTTTCCACATTTACCACGTAAACGTTTCAAATTTTTCCAAGTCCCCTTTGGGTTTGATTCATTCTCCTGAAATTGATTGTTATAGTAATGTTTCTTTTCTCTTCTTAACTTAAGGGTTACAGCATTACGCATGCGTTTAAAGGAGCTCTAGTGTAGTTCACGATTGGTCTTAAGCGCCAGTTTGTGAACATTATCCCTTTCTTTCATTAATTCTCTAATCTCCGTTGTTAACCAAGGTACTTTTTGACCTCTCGTTCGAACATAAATTTGTGGGGCATGAGAGTCTGCGACATCATTGAATAGGTTTTTAAAAGTATCCCATGAATCTTCAATATCTCCAGTATGTCGATTTGCGACCAGGGAACTTTATTTAAGTCTTCGACAAAAGCAATCTGGTTGTAACATTTATAATTTCGTGTATTTATGATCCGTGCGATAATTAATGATCCGTGCGTAATGATCCAGCACGATAACTTAACAAATATCAAACGTATTAATACGAAAATTTGTGGGACTAGTGGACATTGCTCAAGGACCAACCAATAGCCTGTGATCAATAGTTGTCAAATCAACAACCCTGAAAAACAAAATATTACATCAATGGCACATTGTTTTTTCCTTTGACTAACCCATGCTTTGAGTGGCAGCAATTTCCCCTTGCAGGGCCTCTTTTAATTAAGGATGTGTAACTGGGGGACACATTTTTTTTCTGGGGGGGGGGGCATATTTCGTGGGGGACCTGGAGAAGTTCCAGTCAGCAAGTCTGTATCACTGCAGCTACCAGCATATATATATGTATGGTTTATTAACTAATAAGTATACGTCATAGGGCAGCAGATTAGGCTCGTAACTAGGTGGGAGCCGTCTAGGCATACACAAGCAAACAACCTCACAAACATGCGCACATCATTTTGACGCAAGATTAAATTATTATAAATACTGTAAATTTTTTTGTAACTGTAATACGTCTTTGATAATGCCTGCCGTATACTGTAGGTAGCCGAAACTTCAGAAACAATTAAAAATTTTAATCTGGATGATTGTACAATAAATTAAATTAATGGGAGAACCCTGATTCAAGCCCTTTCAAGTGAGTTGCAACAGTGTTGTCAAGATAGGCTCGAGTTCTATCTCAACGACAGTTGCAACAGGCTAAAAACGTGTTGTGATGGTTATGTTTTAATGGAAACAGAAAAACAACAGTGTGGCAACAGTTTTGTGACAATCAGGGGGACCGTGTTTGTCTTTTTAAAACTGCCACCAGCTGCTTACAAGTACGATCTCTGGATCATATTATGAAATTAACTTGCAACAGTGTCAGGACAGTTACAATTAAAATGGAAACAAGCATAAAAATATTCACATCAAATACTTCATGCAGGGCCGTAACTATAGGGGGAGTTTGGGGGGTGGGACACCCTCCCAATATTTTAATTTTGCAGTTTCGTCAGGCAATTTTAACAATTTTAATGACACGCTCGTCGGGCAAAAAATATGTAATTGAGCAAAAAATTTTATATAATTTATTGAAAATATTACTGAAAAATTGTACAAATTATGGTAGATTAGTTCGAAAGTTGGTGAAACTAATAGTTGTCTGAAAATTTTTTCCCCCCCCCCCTCCCAACGATTTTGGGAAAAGAAATATTAATTAGTGACTGAAATGTCCGTTGGGCATGACTTTGGTCATGCCCTTTTAGTCAGGCAAAAACAAGCTGGCCACCTCCCCAGCCGTAATACCGAAGTTACAGCCCTGACTTCCTGACACGTTCGCGATACTTTGGTGATATGTTCGCAACAGTTACAACCTATATGGAAACCAGCCTTAATGATTAACGCAATTTATTGAACCTTTAATCTAATCTCTTATGGACTTGTATGACGTTTGTATGTATTATATACTGACTAAATTGTTGCCTGAATAGAAATCCAAGCTTCCGACTTGTCAAATATATGCTATGTTCTGACATATTTTTGAGGTTTGCCAATGCATGTCTCAAAAATACAGTTGGAATTAACTGGGCAAATTTGACAAAGGGATTTAATAAAATTTGTTTGAGTTTATAATAGCGAGTAGTTGGAGTTAAGTGAGTTTGAGTTAACTGAAGTAATGCACCTATCAATTGACACCCCCACCCCCCCACCCCCCCCCACCCCGGGACAGTGGGGATTTGATTTGACATTGGCTCTAAAGTGTATAAACCTCCACCCTACCCGGGCATGTTTGCCACAAAAACCCCCACCCTGGAGGGGCAATCTGACAAAACTACCATTTTTTTCAACTTAAAGTTCTGTATAAAAGTACACACTTCATGCAAATATAAATATCAATTACAACTTTATTAATGAACAGAACAATGTACTAATTAACAATTATTCGCCGAAGGCGAGGTGATTATCGGGGAATATTTGCCGAGAGGCCCGAGATGAAGTCGAGGTGAATATTCCCCGATAATCACCAAGCCTGAGGCGAATAATAGTTTTAGTATTTTTACACAAGTCTTTTGGGACTGAATTTATTTTAATTTTGCTTACTTCTCTATCAGTAGCTTCCACAAAACGGCTAGCCGCCATTTTGAAAATTTCAGTTTTTTTAATTTAAAATTCACCTGTAGGTGAATATAACATCTTATTATATAAAGTATAGTGCTTTATAGAGATTTCGAGCACTGATAAAAGTGATAATCTCTCATGTGAGATTATTCATGATAATCTCACATGTAAAAATTCGCTTTTCTGTAAAAATTATCGCTTTTCAAAGACTTTCCTTTATATAATAAACAGAAAAATACATGGGTGCTTGTCGAAATAAATCTGGTATTTCTGCGCACCCATGTATTATTTTCTATTTAATACGTCAAATTTGACCAATCAACTTGTAAGATTTGTTACGTTCACTTGTGCAAAAATACTAATTGACATTAGTATAATTACATAGGTGATTATTGAAAATTCTCCACACTGATTGGTTACCGTTGAGGTGATTATCACGCGATAATCACCTAAGCGATTTTCAAAATGGCAGCCGAAGCCGTTTTGTCAATTAAAAGACGAAGAAATGTGCATTTTTTAATTTTTTCCCCAAATAATCACGTATGAAATTATACTAAAACAATTATTCACCTCAGGCTCGGTGATTATCGGGAATAAAAACCTCGACTTCGTCTCGGTTTTTATTCACCGATAATCACCTCGCCTTCGGTGAATAATTGTTAAATATGGTACAACGAAACAGATATAGTAAAAAATAGCAGAGAAAACAAATTCAGCATTCATTTTGCGTTTTTATAGGTAGAAACACAAGAAAATGGCTAAAATCACAATATTAATTAAAAGAAAAAAAATGTTAATAAACAATTTAGGAAAGAAAAAGAAAATTAAAAAGCAAATATTAATAAACAATTTAATATTTTATATATAAAAGCATTATAAACTAGACACATACCTTGAGCTTGTTGTTGTGCAAAACTGCAAAACGTTTTTTAATAGCAAGTCGCCATGACAGTCCTCAACCACAGAATAGGATTAAGGTACAGCAGAAGCGTAACTCGAGTCGGTTCCCTTTAATTAAGAGGGTCCTGAAGGGGTAAATTGGGAACTGGGATTGATCTAATTTTAGACTGGGAAAATGGGATTTGGGTTGCTGGGACTGGGATTTGGCCACTGGGAATGGGAAATGAAGTCCTCAAAAATGGGAATGGGATTGAGGTAATGCGAGTCGATTCCCAATTTTTCTAGATTTTAAGTGTTTTAAAATATAATTTTGGTCTGTTTTCGGTGTCTTTGGTCATGATTTTTGTTGTTAACTATATTATTCACAGCACTACCTGCGAACAGGCATACTCTGGCGCCCGGAATTCTGGGTTTTCTGATTATTACGAAAGTCACCGAACTGTGGAATCGCATAAAAAATTTGTATATCGACTACTCCCACAAACGTCTACGACCGCGCCTACATATTTTTGCATGTTTACAATTCTAATTTTAAACAGCCAATCGACGTTTAATTGTAATTGTCATCAAGAACCTGATTGGCTGTTCAAAATTAGAATTGTAAACATGCAAAACTATGTAGTCGAATGTAGGCGCGGTCGTAGACGTTTGTGGGAGTGGTCGATATAGTGAGACGTTTGTGGGAGTGGTCGTAGACGTTTGTGGGAGTGGTC